TGTTTGGATAGGCCTGATTTGGTTATCTGAATCTCAACACCACATCAGCAGTAAGAAACATCTGAAACACTAATGCACCAATACGTAAGTACCTTTAGAAAGAAGGAAGAGCTGTCTGAATGTTCAAAAGGCAAATAAAGACCACCACCCACAAGGAAACTGGAGACTTAACTGAAGAGCCCCTTAACTGTATCTCAGCTTACTTGCATGTCCTCTTATCTAAAACACAGCCATTGCTCTTCAAGTCCGCCCATTCCATTTCTTCCTCACTATGTCTTCCTTGAAAGAGTCTGGACCTCCAAAAGAAATATGTCTTTGACAGTCATGCAATTATTCTTTTTAAGATCAGTTAGGGACCAGTTCATCCTGTTCCTTCAGAGCAGTTTGAAAAACAAGCACACTTATATATTTTCATGTATAATTAACACCGAGTAAAGTTCAACTTGCATTTGGGAAATAAATGAAATAAACCCAGCTATTTTTCTGGAGTTAAACATGACCAGCTCAGCTAGCATACCTCAGCTTTATTTCAACAGACATGTTTGTTCCTTCACCTGTCTGTGCACCTGATTTCGCCTCTCCCATTCACAAAAAAAAAACAAAAAAAAAAACCAACCAACCAAAGATCTTCTCGCATACAATTAGATAGCAATGCACAGTATAGAAGAATCTGAACTATCAAATACTGGAACAGGAGGAAAAAATACAGTTAAAACTGTTTCTATTTCCATACACAATTTTTATTGCAGTTCCTGTATTCTTGAGTGTACAGATACAAATATAAAATGACCCACGACAAACTTTAAACCTGCCCAAATAGCAAGCTGAGAAATTAATTCAGTATTAGAGCCAAAGTTGACAGGACTTCAACAGATGATGGGAAGCTTCCCCAGTCTTTCTTCAAGAACAACCAGGATCCACCATATTTTTGGTCCAAGATGTATGCTTTAAGCTGGCAGCTGAGTCTACGAACGAGTGTATTTACCCCAGATGTGCAGCATAAACACAGAAGCAATAAAAAGAAGACTCATGACCAAAACTGGAACAGGCCCACTAAAAATAAAGAAAAAAATGCATTAACATAAAAAAAAAGTTTGCTTTGTCCAAAGGCCAGTCATTATCAGCCAAATGAACTCATCATTCACAAACAACTGTACGAAAAAAATTATTCTGTTCCCATAGAAATACCTTAAAGTATTAGAAATGAGATATCCATCTCTACCAATAACTGCTGCTGCCCATTTTTAGAGATAGCTTTACACACTCTAATTGTTATGTAACTATAAAGTACAATACATAATAATAATAAATATAAAAATCACTAATTTAAAAAGCCATTAATGGTTCATTATTACTCAATGTTGTACAAACAATCTCTGGAAAATTATCAACTGCATTTCCTACTCGGGCAGCCACCTGAGCAGAGATGTAGTCAGATTCAAAAAACAACAGAGTCCTCTAGCGGCTAGCAAAATTTTGGCATAAGATTCACATTAGCTTTTTTTTTTTCCTCCAGAGGTTTTATTTCTTGTGGAAACAATGGCAACAGTGGTCGAGAAACAGAGACTTTGTTTCCTTCAGAAAGATACACTGAATGACAAAGTTAACTCCGTTACTAAATCATTACCCAGAATGTATAAATTAACAAACTTCTGAACTTTTTCCTCCCCATTATTATATTGTTTAGAAATTGTATGGTGATGTTTTTAAAAGACAGTTTAATCTTAGCACGGTGAGAGACTACATCAGTGGTTTCACACTGTGCTAAAACACTGTTATCCGCACTATTACAAAATTACATGCACTCAGCACTGGTTCATAGCATTCACTTCATATAATCTCACTTCTGATTTTCAACATGAATTCTGTTATTCAGCCTGGACTAACTGGATCCTTCAGGTTACTGTTTATAAGCAGGTGTTACTTGAATACGAAGTTAGAAAGAAGCTGAAAGTGGATGGAAACAATTTACTAACATTTTTCTATGAGATCATGGTCCATGTATTTCAAATATTCATAACTGTAATCTTATATCAAGTTTTAAAATTCATTTATTATCCACCAAAGACTTATTGGGGTATGGAGTACCCTGAACAGACACAAAGCATTTATCACATAAACCAGTGATAAAACATGCAAAATAAAATAAAAAAGTAAAATACACATGCACAGTGACTACATAAGCAACCCCTACCAAGGAGCTTGTTTCACCAAGCAACAGAATGTATTTCTCAATCCCCAGTGTTTTATACATATTTGAAGTTTTATGTTCTCCACAATATAAATTGCAATGGTATCAGGTGCACAAAATCTTATACTGTACCTGAATTACTATTTAATCCCTTTGATCCTTTAGTAGTAGTAACATGCAAGCTACTCTATGCTGAAAGCACATGGGAATAGAGGAGCACCACTAACCAGAACAGAGCAACACAGACATAAACAAGGGAAGGTTGTTTGTATGTTTGTTGGCTGTTTGGTTGTTTTGAATTTTTTTTAACTTGCAGATGACAAAATAAACAGTTTTCCAATACTGACATGCATCTTATTTCCTCCAGTCCCAAAGACAACTTGCTGAAACCTTGCCATTCTCCTCTATACACCTGATTCTTCTCCGCACACCATGCAGTTTAAATAAACAGATTCAGGCACCTCTAAGAGTTGATACTGATCATTCTCAGAATGTCTTTCATAAGGTTGTATACTATATCACAAGCCCAAATTGATTCTCTACCCACAGGAAACACCGTCAATAGCTCTTCAAACAAGAAAGCACAAGACAAGACACAAACCACAGGTATCAACTGCCACAGAACGGGCAACAAGTTTGGGTTTAGTCTTCCTTGCAAAGTATACAAGGCTCTACCTGAGTTTTAAAGAGAAAAATATTGTGTCCCACTCTCAACCAGATTCCTCACAGCTCCCTTTTGCTAATATTATTTTTAAAGGCATTCCTATGTTCTAGACTCTTGTACTACAGATAAATGTACTTTCCTGAGGCAAACCAAACTTGCTTGTTCAACATACTCTTTATTTCTGATGTTGAGTACAGCTTTTAAATGACTAAAATGTAACTACACAGAATATAAAACCATAACTAGCATGAAATAGCCTGTTCTCAGGTGGTTTTATGTTGGTTCTTTTCCATAGTAATTTCAAGATCCCATATTTTGAACATTAGGATTAAAACAAAACACCATCACACTCTCACACTGCTGTATACAGTAGCAATCACAAACATTTTTAAAAACTTCAGCTGAAGCACTTTACTGAGGCAACCACAACCCCTCTATAACCTGTATTTACTTTTAAACCTACCAAACAGGACAAAGAACGTAGCAATTGGATGTTACGGAAAAAACGTGTAGAAAAATACATGGAAATCTGTAAGAATGCTGCTCCCAAGCCATGGTTCAGAAGGTGGCACATCGGGTGTGCGGCTGATCTGTAAAACCAAACCACTTTTACAGATTTCTTTCTTCCATTAAAAGCCTGACCATACAGCTACCTATGGCAGCCTGCAGAAAAATCTCAAACCAAGCAAGCAAACAACAAAAAGAAACCACCAAGAAAACCCCAAATGACACCCCCAGTGCTCCAAAACCTCAAAATTTGGAACCACTGTGTTGCAACGTAAATAGAAGGGAAAAATCTACTTACTGACCTGCTTGTATTAAAGTTTAGAACAATTAAGTGGTCATTCAACACCGAAAGTGATACCAAAGGAGTCACAATGAAACTTGTTAAAATTGGTAAAGCTGCTTTGACAGCTTGTATCACAGCTTGCATTACAGTATTTAAAAAAATATAAAAATCTACCTAACAATAAGAACACTTGTTTTTTCTCAGTTCAGCTTTATTAACTTTTAATTGAGCTTTAGTAGACCAAACAACATGGAAAATTGCTGCCTTTGCCTATCTGCACAGATTTACTCTAGAACACTACTACTGCTCTTTAGCTTCTTCTTTTCTTAAACTTACCTCCAGAGCACCACTACTTTAACGGTTTGCTTTTTAAAGGTTTGTTTTTTTAAAGTCAAGCGCACATGAAAACAAAAAAACACATCAGAGCTTCCGAGGAAGAATTACCCACAGAACAATCAGTAACTAGACTATTGCAAGCCCTTCCCCAAATGTTCTGTTTGCACAGCTAGCAGCAGCCACCTTAAAGGGCTCCAAAATAAAACACTAATGGATTCTCTTTAACCCAGTAAGACCAAGAGGCCAATAAGTGTAACTCTACAGGAAGCACAAACGCCCACTGAGGGTATGACTTAGCATGCATCCATCAGCTGATATACACCTTCCACCTTTGTTATTCAAGTATCTGGCTGTAAAGCTAGTTTGGGAAAGTGATCTGATTGACTCAAACCAGCCAAAAACTAAAAACTTAGGCTCTCCTTACAGCTTAAGGGACACTACCACCATTATTTGACCATAACCTTGGAACAGTCGCCTTGTAAAAACAGAGATATACCACAATGCTATTTACTGTGCAAGCTTAGGTAAAATAACTCATCTTCAGCTCTTCAATAAAAACACCTGAGATTCTGCAAGCATGCGGCATATCAGTTATGCTTTCACGGGGGGTGAAAGAACATAATACACCTATTAATAAAGAAAAAAACCAAAAAGTTTTAACTAAAAGAGAACAAAAACATGCACAAAAATGCTAAATTCACTGTGACGAGAAATTTTTCCCAACTTTAAATGGACTGTTTACAGTCTTCAATGACCATTTAAGGCAAGACTAGACAATTACAAATTATAACTTGCACCTACCTTTTTTAAGCCATTACAAACTTTATAAACTCTAGAACTACCTGTCTAGGTTTACATATTAAGTAAAATACTTTGTCCCAGATCTAAGCATCTATCAATTCAGCATGTTTTCCCATACACACCAAAACACTGATGCCTCAGTTCAAAGACTGAAAGATTACAGAAGCAGGTGAAATACACAGCCCTCATGCCTGCCACCACCCATACACCCAACTTACACTTTGAGCCCTGGAGAGTCCTCAGTGTAGAATCGCCACATCCCACCAGTGCCTGTGGATGTGGCACGGCCTGCACTTCTTGTCCCGCAGCTGGCATTTTTCCTTTAAGGTACAACAGAATGAAACAAAGACCAAAACACATTAGTAGTCTGCACTAAGCACCCCAAGAGACTGTGCAGAAGACACTTGCATCAGAACGTACAGTTCGGCAAGTGGAGGGTATCCGCCTATGCTGACAGGAGGGCACGATGGTTGGCTCAGCACCTCCTAGGGCTACAGCCGGGTGCACCGAGGCCCGGTGAGGGCTCCCACTGGAGCTCTGCCCGCGCATCCCACGGAAGCACACGGCTCAGCCCCTCTGCCCACCGCTGTGGGTACCCAGTCGCCAAGTGCCAAGGACGGCGGCAGAGAAAGAGAGCTGCCCCACTCTGAGAACCTACCTCTGCCGGACAGTGGAGCCCGCGGCACGAGGAGCCACGGCCTTGCTAGGGGAGCGGCCGGAGGAACCGACGCTCGTAGCGCTGGGGTTGGGCCCGGGCTGCGGGAAAAGGAGATAGCCGGGAAATGGTAAGGGGCGGCAGACACAGCCAAGGGAGAGGAGCCGCCTCAGCCGCCCCCTGCCTCGGGCAGAACCTCACCATGGCGGCAGTGTCGACGCTGGCTCAGCAGTCAACACGGCTCCACACACGCTCCCGAACGGCTGCTCCGGCCACGTCCCTGCCCGCAGCAAGCCCCACCTCCCCACCGCGCCTCCCGGGACCCTGCGGCTGCCAGTGGTGATGCCTGAACACCGCCGGCCTCTTTTCCCTCCCTACCCTGCTCCTTAGCCCCTTTCCAAGCGCGCAAGCTCTCCGTAGCTCCTCGGTAAAGTTTTCTTCCTCACCAGCGACTAGGCCAGGCCGGCCAAGTGGAGAACTCTGGGGCGAAGCGGCAGGCAGCGCCGGGACAGCCCGATGGGAGGGCGAAAGGCAGGGCCCGGGAAGAAGGCTGACGTGGCCTGCGGCTACGCATGCGCCTCGCTCTGCAGTGCGTGGCGGCCGGCCAGCTGGGCCGTTGGTGTCACCGCAGCAGCTATGGCAGCGGCGGAGGAGGATGGTGGGGAGGGCCCGTCCGTGCTGTTCCTGCACCCGGACCTGGGGCTGGGCGGCGCGGAGCGGCTGGTGGTGGACGCCGCGTTGGCGCTGCAGGCGCGGGGCTGCCGGGTGCAGATCTGGACGGCGCACTACGACGCCGGGCGGTGCTTCGCGGAGACGCGCGGCCTGTCGGTGCGGCAGGCCGGCGGGTGGCTGCCGCGCAGCCTGTGGGGCCGCGGACACGCGCTGTGTGCCGCCCTGCGCATGGCCTTCGTGGCGCTCTACATCCTGCTGCTCAGCGGAGAGTGGGCCGACGTCTTCGTCTGCGACCAGGTGAGAGGCCGGGCCGGCGGAGGGCGGGGGTGCTGGGAGGTAACGGGGCAGCTGTAAGGAGAGGCAGCGGCTGCTGCTGGGGGTTCCCCCACCCTTCTCCCTGGTGATGGGCCTTGGCGAAAGAAAGTGCATGGGGAAGGGCCGGGGGGGGGGCGGGGTTTGGCGGCCTCGCAGGCCGAGGTAAGGGAGGAAATGCAGAGCTACAGTGGGAGGTCCTGGGTGAGAGAGTGAAGTTTGATGTGGAAGGGAGAATGAGAAGAAGGCTGTAGTGATAGGACGAGGGGTCATGGGTTCAAACTTAAACATGAGAAGTTCTTTACTGTGAGGGTGGTGAGGCACTGGAATGGGTTGCCCAGGGAAGTTGTGAATGCTCCATCCCTGGCGATGTTCAAGGCCAGGTTGGACAGAGCCTTGGGTGACATGGGTTAGTGTGAGGTGTCCCTGCCCATGCCAGGGGGTTGGAACCAGATGATCTTAAAGTCCTTTCCAACCCTAACTATTCTATGATTTTAAGGTATTTGGCTTATAAAAGGCTGGCTCTCAGGGTATGGCTTCGAAATCGTGTGCACAGCAGCAGCACTAAACCAAATGATGATTGTTTTCTCTTGTCCTGTCTCTCCTGGTTGCACTAGGTGTCTGCTTGCATTCCTGTACTCAGACTGGCCAGAACTCGTAAGAAGGTTTTGTTTTACTGTCACTTTCCTGATCAGCTTCTGACCAAGAGAGAATCTGTCCTAAAGCGTATCTACAGATTACCCCTCGACTGGCTAGAAGAGTACACAACTGGCATGGCAGACTGTATTGTTGTGAACAGCAGGTTTACTGCCAGTGTGTTCAAGGACACATTTAAGTCCTTATCTCACATAAGCCCAGATGTCCTCTACCCATCGCTCAACATCAGTAGCTTTGAAACAGTTGTTCCTGCAGACATAGCTGACCTGATACCAAAAAAGAAAAAGTTCTTGTTTCTTTCCATTAATAGGTATGAGAGAAAAAAGAATCTAGCATTGGCTCTTGAAGCTTTGCATGAGCTTCGAGGAAGACTTGATTCTCACGAGTGGAATGAAGTTCACCTGGTTATGGCAGGCGGTTATGACAAAAGAGTTCTGGAAAATGTGGAACACTATGAAGAGCTGAGGAGACTTGCAGCCAAGCTTAATGTTAATGACCATGTCACTTTTCTGAGATCCTTCTCAGATGAACAGAAAATCGCTCTTTTTAATAACTCTATATGTGTGCTTTACACACCAAGCAATGAACATTTTGGCATTGTCCCTCTGGAGGCAATGTATATGAGATGTCCAGTTATAGCGGTTAATTCAGGCGGTCCTTTAGAATCAGTCTTGCATAATGTTACAGGATTTTTGTGTGATCCTCTGCCAACACAATTCTCCGAGGCCATGGAAAAAATTGTAAGAGATCCTCTCTTAAAGAACACAATGGGAACAGCTGGTAGAGCCAGAGTTATGGAAAAATTTTCCTCAGAAGCATTCAAGGAACAGCTGTACCAATACATATGCAGATTAACACAATAAAATTATATTCCGATATTATATTTTACTGCTTTGTGACTCTCATTTGTGAAGGGGACTGGTAGTTATTGTGACTATGATGAAGAATCTGGACATACGAATTTCTGTGTTGTTATTCTTGTGTTGCCTTCTGCCACTTGATACAAAGAACAGGCAAAACGTCCCCCACTGCCTCATCAGAAGTTTGAAATTTTCATGTGGTAGGCTGGTCAGCCATTGCAGTTCTTTTGTGTACAGTGCCTTGGAAAAATGGATAGTTATATGGCAGTAACTTACTAGGAAATTACTGGACCTTTTACTTTAATACTGTACAAAATGCGATCCTTACAAATCCATATTTTATAAATGGCTAAGACAAGTGCCACTTTATGTATTTAAAATGTTCAAGAATACTTTTTAAGTAAAAAGTATCTCAGCTGAAGTATGGAGAGAATTTTACATGCAGCTGCATGTTTTTAAAAAACAGCCCTGTTGGCCATGTGAATTGTATGGTTTAAAAATGATTGACCTTTTACTGCTCTTCAATTGCATCATGTGGTCACACTAGGTGTCATAAGTGTACAGGTGTGAGCAGGAGGAAACAGACTAGAGTAAAACCAGGGACATCAGACTACCTCACGTAAAAACGTTAGTACTGAAATCCTGTGTCTATGCAGATATCTGTGGTGCTTGGGGATGTAATTTTACTTTGAGATTTCCTTTGAGATTTCCTTCTTTGTAGAAACTTAAATGATATGCCCTCTATTTAACATTTCATTCTAAATGATGACACACTTAAAGGTGTTAACACAGAGCAGACAATAAAGACATTTTATTTTGCCTGGTTTAGTGGTAACTTTTTGGTACAACTTTTCTGAATAATGTTGCTGGGGGATACTTTCATCCTAATGTAGTGACTGCACATACGACAGTAATTTGACTTCCTCATTCTTTGAAATCACATTTTATCTATAAAATGTAATTTGTAGTCTAAATTCTGCAATTTGTATTTAAAATAGTTTCAGGCATTTTCGCATTTAGTACTTCACAACAAAGAGTCCAGCCTTCTCGTTGCTTAGGACTGCAACCTAGGTCTCAGTAGAAGGCTTTTATTTAAAGTCAAATAAAGATCCTCAAAATCTGTTCTTGTCTTTAATCAGGAATTTGGGGTGCTATAATGCTTATATCCAACATTTCTGTTCATGTCAGAAGAACTGGAAAGCCTCAATCTGTCATCTCTTGCCTGTTCCAGCATTTGTGTTTCTTCCCCACCCCTTAAACTTTTCCTAAATCTTTGTGCAACTTTTTCAGGATAGGGGTAGCAATGAGTGACTGAAGGGCCTGGAGACTGTTAAAATAATCTGTGATCATTGATGTTAACACCTTCAGGACATGTTTGGCCTAGGTTTTAAGCTCCAGTTAGAAGGTGCAGGCTAGTTGGAGCTAGCTCCTGTGGTTTTTTGGTTAATGTTACATTCTCCAGGTTGCACTGAGTTAATATGGAGCCTCAGGTACATACCAGTGCACACTTACCAGCATAGCTGCAGTGGTAGCTCCATTTATGCTCAAATCATGACTACCAGCCCTTTCCTGAGTTGTGTTGGCATGTGCCTAGCCCTGCTGGTGACCGCTGGAACTGTCAACAGAATTTTCCTTCCTGGATGCTGGGCCCTGTCCTGTGGTATGATCACCTTTGGATTGTCATTCCTTGTAGAGCAGCCTGTCTTGCTAGTTCCTGACAGGTAGCTTGGGCCATCTCAAGACCTGAGCTGAATCTCATGAAGCCAGGCCTTTGGGCTCACCATCAGCTGCAGGTAAACCTCAAATTCCTGCAGGAAGGTATGGTCAGCGTGTAGAGCCACAGCATAGCACTTGAGGCTGCTTCAAGATCTCTTGCTCCCCATCTCAAGCAACCTGACCTAGTGGAATGTATCTCTACCCATTGTAAGAAAGTTGGGCTAGATGATCTTTAAAGGTTCCTTCCAATTCAAACCATGCCATGCTTCTATGATCTTCCAGAACCATTCAGTGGGGACTGGGTGATGGTATCAGGATTTATTAGTCACGTGTGGCTAATCTTTACAGCCTATCCAGGGGCTATATATCCCAAGGGACATTAGATGCTCAGCTGTAATAATCTTAGCTCTTGGGGCACCCTAAGGGTAGATTATGACTATGTGGAAGATAAGGGCCCTGTGCTCCAAAACTTGATGACTGATTTGGAACAGTTGTGGGGTGATCACAACTGCCCTTTCACTACTGTTTTAGAGACCCACACAATTAAAGAGAAACACCTCCATCATGGGATGACAAGTGCCCCCAAATTTTACACATCAGCATGATGTAGGGGATACCAAGTATGTTTTGTTGTGCTGTGTCTAGACCACCATAATACAAGAAAACAAGGCTCACCAGTGTTGAGCTTCCAAAATGACAGGTTTTTAAAGCAATAATTATTTGTACCTGTTTTGAACCTGGTTCAGAAATCCATATTCTTTGTGTGTGTCTTTCCTTCTCTCTCCATTACTTAAATAAAAATTTATTTAAAAGTGTTCTGTTTAAATAAAATTGCACATGCCTTGGGCAGTCCGCTCTCCAAAGAAATATTAAGTATTGGACTAGTACAATTAAATAAATTTATCATTAGCCTACAGGAAAATTAAAGTTTTAAAATTTATATCCCACCAGTGTAGTGTGAAGGATGATGCAACAAGAAGAAAATGGTTGCAAGGAGGAAGTCATGTCCTATCCTCCCCATATTTGCACATCCTTCTACTTTCAATTGCAACCCAGATATATGAAAAGAAGCCAAATAAAGATGCTGTTTAAAGCTTTTGGACAAATAAGGGTAGAGTATGTAGTGGTGTGAACAAAGGAAGGCAAAGAGAGAGGTGACGAGGTTTTAGAGTTTCTTCACGTACAAATACTGTGGGCTGGAAAGTGGCAACCCAGTGTTCTTTCTTCAATTTACCTTTAGTACCTGTAGTAAATAAGAAAAGCCACAAACAATTTCATATGCATAATTTGTATACTCTTTTCAGATTATTAAAAAACCAATGGGAAAGCCACCAATTTCAGGGTTAAACCCGCCTGCTAATGCTGCTTTTTTTCCTCCCCTCACCCCTTCATTACTGTTTTTTACAGTTTTACACAGTATAACAAATTTATAGATTTTACCATTCACAGAGAGTCTATAAAAACCTCATGCTACATGATCATATTGCTAAACTTGATTCCTTTTTATTATGGCTTTATTATTCTTCCTCATGGATGAAATGGCAGATATATTTTGAATTGTAATTTATTATACAGTTAATATCACAGGGGTATTTTAAACGAAACAGTAACTGTAGAATACTGAAAAATTATAGTATTATGAAAGGAGTGTATGCAATAGCATGAATGTTAACACAAATAGCACAGAAAGAGATAGGCATTTTAATTAGAGTTACCTTTATCTGCTTTTATGGAGAAATTAGAACATGTTACCCAATAAGAAATAAATCAGAGGTGATTTATTGATGTGCAATTCTTCAGTGGCAGTTATTTTATGCCTGAGATAAACTGAGGCAATTCCAGATTTTTACACTGTTAGTCATATGGGGAGACCAACAAGTTTGTCCTCATGAACTCTGAAACAAATCTATTAACATTATGGTATCTTTATGACTCCAATTCCTGTGCACTGAAAGAGAAGAAAAATGTAATGATTGAGGAAATGAAAATAGAAATCAGTTGGAGTTGCTTTACATGGATAAAGGGAACAAGTTTTAAAACCCTTATGTAAGACAATCAATAGCTGGGAAATTAGCCTTCAGATGACCTTCACGACAACTGCAGGCACATATCATACTTTAATGGACTTTTCCCCTCACAATTACACACAGAATTCCTGTATAGCAAGATTTGCAAAAGACAACAAATTGAGATGCCTCTTCAGTTATTCCCAAGCAAAATTCTTAGTTGCATCTCGAAGTATTTGCAAGTGTGTAAAACAAATCACAGGAGCATCACACCTTCTCTGATTTACTGTTTTTTAATCTTGATCCTCACCTAGGATTAGCCCTGTAAATAAAACTACAGCAGAATGAGGTGCTATGTGAAATAACAAGCAAACCTAGTAATGGTTAATTGCAGGAAGAGATCCGAGCATCAGCTCCTGTAGGAATGCAGGACAAGAGTACAAAGAAATACAGAAGAACAAAGCCTGTCAGGAATGTATCTCTCATTGGCACCCCTCTTCCAGCACCTGAAACATGGGACAGACCTATTTGCCTCCTTCACCCTTTAAAAAAAAAACCCTTTTCTTAATCAAGTAAAGCCCAAGAACACTAACATGGCAAAGGACTGCTCAGAGGGACCTAGTGACCGGAGCCTAACAGGACATTTGAGCCTCACTAAGGTGAGAGAGGTCCAAAAAGAGCTCCCACAGGGGCAGCACAGGTAATGCAGCAGATGAATGAAGATGCCTGATGTTCTAAAGGGGGCTTATCATCAGTCAGGGACAATGAAGCTATCTTTGGTTCTAGTGGAGGAACCAGCACTCATATAGGCCAGGAAGAAATCCAGAGCCACCTCAATCCCCACCTGTATCAGTTTCCCTTCACTCAATCCTTTCTCTTGCTTCTCACTACCTGTGCAGATCCAGTCAGGATAGAGTTAGACTGTCAGGGAGCAGCAAGGTCCATTTGGTTACTAAGGGACAGGGGACCAGGACCACTGTGTAATAACAAGATGGGCATCCCACATTATTCAGGCAGGGTGAGCCAGACAGGCCTGGAGATGTCAGGATGTGGGAGTTGCCAAGCATAGCAGTTGCACAGCTGTGAACTTACCTCAACAGAAAGGGAGCCAGCTCTAGGCAAATGGCTGTATCAGCTGGGTGAATGAACTATCTGTGTAGCTGTTGGTCCCCAAGTTAATAAAAAAGAATGGAAGTATACCAGCATGAATCAGCCCAATATACAGTATTAAATGCAAACAGCAAACAGGAAGAACTCTGAAGAGATAAACAAGCTTGAGTGGCTTTCAACTCACATGTTCCTTCCCAGAGGGTGGGAACACCCATGTTCATGATGATGAATATATTATAGATTAGTAATGGAATCGCGTTTGTATTGTAACTCAACTGCACATTACAGTTACAAAACTCTCCCAAGAATGATATGTACTTGAGTTGTGATTTAAGCACATTGCTGTATCACTCTGATAGATGAAAATCCCATGTAACATAAGATAACTTTAAAAAACAGTGGGCTTGTTGTTAAACATTAAATTCTTTATGCATGGAGTATGTAGAAGAACCTGGTCAAAGAGTAGCATGTGATCTGTGGGGAGAGGCTGAGGGAAGTAGGCTTGTTAGTAGCAGCCTTCTAGTTCTTGTAAGGGGTTACTGGAAAGGAGCAAGGCTCTTCACCGTAGTGCCTCACAGAATGACAAGAGTCAAAGGGCGTGTATCATAGAATCATGGAGTCATAGAATCATAGAATCATAGAGTCATATCATAGAGTTGGAAAGGACCTTAACATCATCTAGTTCCAACCCTATCAAATCAAGGAAGGTTGTGATTAGATATTAGGAAAAACCTCTGGTCACCATGAGAACAGACAACCCATGAAACCAGCTGCCCAGATAGGGAGCACAGTCTCCAACTTTGGAGGTTTTCAAGACCTGACTCTATAAAGCCTTGAGCAGCCTGATCAAATCTTGTAGCTGATCCTGCTTTGAGCAGGAGGATGGGCTCTGGCCAGAGAGTACGAGTGGAGCACCTCAGAAGTCACTGTTGGGTCCAATAGTATTCAACATCTTTGTCAACAATCTGGACGGTGGTATTGAAATTGCCACCACAAAGTTTGCACAGAACAGCAGGCTAGGAGGAGATATATATATGCTGGAAAGTAGAACCATCACAGACACAAGTCTGGGCAGTCTAGAAGATGGAGCCAACGAGAACTGAAAGATATCAAAGATAGATATAAACCCCACACTTTTGGGCAGAATAATCCCAAGCATTAGTACAGGCTGGGGTCTGACTGGCTTGGGAGGAGCTGTCTAGTGACTTTAAAAAAACCCTTTCCATGTGCACTGTCCACAGCTATTGAGCAATCAGTTAATTCCATTTATCTACAGTAGCTATATTCTGACACTGTGAGAAGTCCCAGTGGTTTGAAACTAGGATTTGGAAGTGATAGTAACAAACACGACTATTTATTCCTGCTTGAAGCATGGGAACAAAATGTGAAGAAAGCCTCTGGAGGGATATCACTGTATGAATGGAGGTTATTTTCTACTGCTTCCCAGGTTTCAACCTGTTCCTCACCTTTACATGTAGCAAGCACAATGTCATGCTTCTGTGTTAAACTTGTGTTTTGCAGATACCTAGAAGCAAAAGAAAAGAAACACTAGATAGGAAAATACAGTTGTCCTTTTTTTCCTGGTTCTGTTGATTATGCTGCTTTCTCCTTTGCATGATGACACGTGTTTAACAGCAGCACTAGACTGCAGGTTCTACAGGCTTACTGCAGAGTAAATAAAACCCCATAAAGTCTTCTTCCTCTCAGCACAGTTCTATTATGAGAACTATTCTTCTTAGTGCTAAAATAACACTAAAAGCCAAAAACACGTTAAAAAATGGTTTGGCAAATAGGTCGATTTAAAATTGATGGTCCAAATACAGTCACTGCTTAGAAAGTCTATCAGTAACTGGTGTGTAGGAGCTGGAAACTGTATTAGGTAACATGCAAATAATGCTAGATATAAGCACCTGCTTTCAGGCACTGCTGGAAACAGAATATAAATACAATCTGATCTTTAATGCATATTCAGACCTCTTCTGTTCTTGGGCAGAAGCTTTATCCTTAAGTATCCCAAAACATGGAAAAATGGATGAAGAAGGCACCCAAAAAGCACGTGCAGTGCTTAAAGGACATGAAAATAGAAAACGCCCTTCCTGAAAGTGTTCCTGTCCTGTGGGAAATCTGTGCATCGTCATAAGCAGCAATACACCAAAAGAATTCTGCTGAAAGGGGATGTTAAATTCATCCAGTGCTAGTGTCTGTTTTAATAATACTTAAAGGAGAGCGTACTTTGTCACCTATTCCAGCAGCATCTAATTTTCTGCATAGAAATATTCTTGTAACACTTCAGCATGAATGCAAGACAAGAAATTGGCACTTTTAAATTAAGCTACCAATCTGTGACATACTGTGAATAAAGTGAATGGTATCGCGAAACTTCATCTATGAATTTTTGATCACTGAAGCTATATGAAAGTTCATGACAGGTGACAGGGTAAAATTCCCCAGCTTGCATTCCTACTGTATTTCATAAATAATCTGGGATGCTCACATCTCTAAATACTTTGTATATATACAAGCCCACTGTGGAGATCTGACCTTTTAGATGGGAAAGGCCCAGTCCAAGCTGTCCCCCACAGTGATTAAAATGCTGATGTAAGTTTACTTTCTGCCTATATATTCTTAAAGGGAAGTCAGTTCTTAGAAGTTGGGGCTTATGGGGTTATTCATGAGGCTACATTTCTAGAGGCTGAAGCAGTTATTAATTAGAATTCAATTTAAAATGTTCCCTGCAGTGAGTAAGGCCACTTGCCATTAGTCTAACACAGTAATCTAACCCTGCAGATCTGAAAACGTCCGTATTTGACAAAAGAAAGAGATTGTGATTACGTACCCATTTAACTAAAATCAGGCAACACAAACTCTGACTCATGCAGGTGAACAGGTTCTCTAAAATACCATCTGTGGTCATCTCAAACAAAGCACTTCAGCAAGGACTATAGAGGTGCCTTTAAAAAGATTTAATAGACGTCAGTCCAGAAGGATTAGAGAACATGCATCCATCTCATAGGAATAATAAAGCATTAACATTCCTTCCTTTAAGGTGCAAAGAAGCTGATACCTACGTTTGTAGATTCCTTGTTTTTTATTTGGGTCCGAGCATCAATATTATCCCCCAAAGTAATTTAAAGCAAAATTCTGTAGATGAGCAAAGGAGACTGTCTCATATGCTCCAGATCTTGCACTTACCAATAAATGATGAATTGGTCTGCCAATTCATATGAATGGTCAAGAGAAAGTGAATTCTGAGACCACTGTAAGTAGAAGAGCAGTAAACTTTGAAGAAGGATCCATTCTGAAGAAGCAGATCCACTGAATGCAAAGCAATCACAGACAATATTAAAATAAATAGCAAATAAAAATGATTAGAAAGATATGCAAAGGCCTAAAATAAAGCACTGTGCCAGGATCTTCTTCAAGCTGAGACTTGGGAGAAATGAAGATTTCTACATGCAATCATAACAAAGGCAGGTTTTTCATCCAGAAATTTGCTTTTCTCTAGAGTAAGTACCTTCCTCCTTGAACCAGTATCCCAAAGGCATTTTTCTCCATCAGACATAAAATAGGCCCTAACCACATTCATTTCTTAAAGAACAAATTTGGAGCAACAGCAGTGAGTATAGATACACAAGAAATTACACATAATTTTCTTCACAATAATAGGAATCAGAATTTATATATGCGTGTACATGTATTCGATTTATTTTAATTAAATGGAGGAAGAAACAGCCTCTTTCCCTAAATTCCAAGTAGATAAATATATTCTTATTTAAGAAAATATTTTATAGAAGACCTTATTATGAACTCAGCTGGATAAAACAATATCCTTGATATCCTTGTCTAGAACCTGATATAACATCACTTCAGGGTGCCAAGCATGAAATGATCTTTATGTGCAAGCAACACTGTTTTGTGCCTGCTAAAGAGTGCTTCAGAAGAAAGGAAAAAACACACGAAACCCAAGCTGTATCATGCTGTGAGCAGTTATACCTCAAGTCCAGAGTCACACTGTAGTAACTAGTGATTATATCGGCAATGATATCTTGTGTTTCCTCGCTCTCTTTCTCCCTACATGCAATACACTCACTCTTTGCTTTTATCATGCTTTTACCATCTCTATCACTTTATCACTATGATACAAGAGGCACCTTCTTATTGCGAAATACCCAGGAAACTGTTCTCCTCATCTCAGTTTTATCCTAGACTGGACTGCATGGGCACCATGCGCAAGGAGCAGAGATTGCTCCCTGTTGTGATTAATGCTGCATATAATTGTATGTGGCACCGAGATGCTATTCTCTTACAAGTATGTGAAAGCCATATAGAAGACTGAAGGAATATTAAATCTACAGCACACTAGGATCTGTGAGACTTTTTCTAATGACCATGGTATGAACGTGTTAAAAAAGGTTCCTGGTAATCTGATACTGCAGTGTTGCAGCTGCCTGGATGGAAACTCCTCTGGATAATAAGCAGACGATAAACAGGCAGGAAGATGAACTCTTTTTACAACTTAATTTGAATCTCTTCTCTTTTGCCTGCAGGATTCATCTAGTTTTCCCCTTCCTTCTTTAGAACCCTTTTATATCAAATTCTCTCACCCAGGCAAAGAGCAAGGCCATTTACAATGGCAATAGAAAGTTGATTAGAACAAATAACAAAGGCTGTAGTTTCAGTGAGTTAAACATCTTTAAGAGCATTAAACAGAACTCAGGCAGGATCTGAGTCTGACAGACTCCCACAGTGGGTTTCAAGATGAGAGTTTCTTTTTCATATGTGTTACATCCACCCTAGTGATTCTAGGGTCAGAGTTCACCCTAGGACTGTGCTGCTGAGAATTAATGCACAAAAGGCCAAGCAACTGATTCCTAAGGTGCTTTGCCAGACTCACAGCACATCTTAACAAGCTGAGCAAAGTAACTAAGTTCTGACTTGAAACTCCCACCTCCCCCAGATTGCCCATCATACTGTACTTGGTGCTCATCTTGGTGCACAGGGACAGGAAGAATAAAAATAGTTTTCCCCCTTTGCAATGTTGTCTGCAAAATATTCCCCCAGTAACAGATTCCCTTTGCCAATCGCAAAGACTGTTCCAACCCTGAAAGAGGCAAAGAGCAAGGGAAATGGATGGAGGTGGGCCTACAGCCGGAAAGTTACCCATAGACTTTCAGACGACATCTCATTTAAGCTGATGATACTCACTTTCACATGAGTTGTGACATAACCATGGCAGGAACTGACAAGTGTCAAAATCTTACTGAACATATAAGATTTCAACTCCTATTCCTCTGTACTTAAGAAAAGCCAGCAAATACTACACATTTTTCCTCCTTTTTCCCCATGGCACTTACTCCTCTCAGCAGCTTCATTGGCACTTTACAAGCATGTACAATTCAAGCTCTCCTTTAGAATAGTTGCCGATATTTAAACTGAACTTGACATGGCTTTCCCACTGGGACACCTTTCTAAATATCACTGTGCTGTGGGGAATAGTTACTGGATGGTCTGCCATCAGGACTGGTGTTTGTGTGCTAGTTCTTGAGCTCAAGAAGCAACCACTTATGTTGACTTGTTAAAGTATTTTCTTCAGAGGGCACCACTTCTCTCCTTCCCTTTTTCCAAAGCTCTCATCACACACCAGTGTCTTAATCAAATAGACCAGTAAGAGCGGACCTGGGCATGAAGGACAGGTAGTGGTAAGAAACAGATAGATTGAAGTATCACTAGATCATGGTGGTCAGGTGCGAACAGGGGGAAATTTGCAGCAGCTTCTTCCCCCTTGCAGTCATGTAACCAGCATTCACTGGGGGATACTGTGATCTCTTGCAACTAATCAGCTCCTACAGACTATTATTTTTTTTGCCAGAATAGTGTCTTCTAACAGCTCCCATCGCCCCCACTTAGACCAGGTGCTATGACAGGCACCAGGTCTGCAAACTTAGTGTGGCTGAGGGAGTGTGGGAGACAGTCTCAGAGAGCAGAACCACCATGACCTGGAAGGACTGCAGTTATTTCTCTGGAAGTAATAAGTGTTACACAAGAGTCCGTGTTGTGCCTTTTCCTCTGTCCATGCACTTTTCCTCTTCCATGTCCTCCTTATATAAAGGTGAAAGTTGCCTTCTGCTCCATCACCCTTTCCCAAGAAAGGTTTCACCATATGTCTAACTAAGCTCCGACAGCTATCCCAGACAAGGAACAGCATTCCTCAGAACAGGCTCCAGCATGGATTATCAGACTTGTCTCAGGGCAATAGAACGATTTGGGGTGAGCCTGTCCATTTGTTCTGTCAGAGCAGGCCCAGGAGATGCGCACAAATGGCAAACTGGACAGAAAGTTCGGCAATTCTTTTGTTAATGAGCCTCCCTTTGCTCCTGCATGGATTTTCTCATGGAACTCTCTCACTTGTTTCCTTCCAGATGTATCAGCCTTTGGGATTGTATGTATGGGTGAGCCATACCCACAGCAGCCTCTGCTGCTAGTTCTCAGGCATTGATGTAATGCTCTACAGAGCAGGCCTGAATGACAAAATCCAAGTTCTACAGCCTATGACTGCCTCACATGTGTCTGGGGACTTTTGGAGAGGAGGAGAAATGGTGGAGGCAAGAGAGAATATTGTAAGACTGAAGTAAATGGGTTCTGAATCAGTAAGGTGGAATTGCACAAGAGGGGAAGAGTTTGAGAGACCTGATAAAGGAATCCCAGCTCCACATTAACACTTTTACACACACTGGTGCCATGTGCACATGTGCAGCACCCTGTCATCTCATATTCCCTCTCTGTTAATGCCCTGCTGGATCATGGATCAGCATCCTGCAGAAAGCACATCCATCTGCAGAGCATGCTGCCACACCACAGGTTACACATGATGTAGGGAAGGCTAGTACACTAGATGGGTCTGTATTGAATAAGGAGGAGAGAGGAGAGAGCATTGCTCTTGAAGCTTTGGTACAGTATAGAAAGGGCCTGACACCATAAAGGCTCTCAGATGTTATTAGCACAGGCTCACACCAGTCTGCTCACTCATTCAAGTAAAACACATAGCTGAACCATCTAGGACAGAATGATCCATCTAGGACTGCTCACCCTACCTGCAGTAAATAGTTTATCCAGTGGCTTATCTGCAGCCACCAAAGGCAACAGAAATCTCTCCATTATTTATTGTTAGTACCTCATGATTTGACATTTAATTTAAGTCTTTCAGTATGTCTTGCCCAGCAGCTTTAGCATTATAAATAGGAGAGCACTTTCTTTTCCATTTGAGAAGTAGCCACAAGGATTCAGATCTATTCAATGAACCTTTTCTTAAGACCTGCATTGTGTTGTCATAAATTGGTGACGTTCAAAAGCTTACAGGCACCTCTCTCATAATAAAAGTAGGCTAATTGCTGAAGGCACTGTTGCTTCAAGGCATCTATCCATGTGCAGCCTTGTCAAAACCAGGACAAGCTTTCGTGGTCATACTGTTTCCCTAAATCCTGTAGAGATGAGGAAGTTGTTTCTTTTGTTTACAGTTACAAACTTCTCTGCAAGCATCTTTCTTTGAGATGTTTTATTTTCTTTCTGTTATGAAAGCTTCCACAGCCCTTGGGATACCAGCCATTCTGACACAGAGGGCAGTCAGGCTGGCTACGGACAATATGACCTTGGCAAATCTGTGTTGGGTACTGCTGATTTCTTTCTCATCCTTCACATGCTTCAGTATGGATGCCAAGAGGACATGTTCCATGATATTTCTAGGGAGGGCTTTTGCTGTGTGCTTTTCTCACTGTACTTCATCCTTACACATGCTGCTACAATTGTCTACCCATTACGATTTCTTGGATGCTGTGTCAGAGTTATTTGTAACAATGACAGTAAGAAGACTCACCAGCTTCAACCAGATGGCACTCAATCTCCAGCGTAACAGCAGAAGTCATACAAACATGTAGCCTGCCTTCTCAAATCAGAAAAGATTAATGACAAGTCCAAACATCCTTCAGATGCAAATACTTACCAAGGAACATAAAACGAGGGGTTGTTAGGGCCTGGAAGAGTCTAAAAGAACTAGCCACTCTTACTGTCCTTCCAAGGGAACCTCTCAGTCCTTTGTAAAAATGGCCTGAAACCTATTCACACATCTTGCAGCTGGAGCTGAGAAGTAAATCAGGCCATCTGGTCTTTAGAACCCTTGTTTTCTGTGTAACAGATTGGCCACTTTGTTGTTAATTGCTTTTCAAAGCATCCATAAAAAACATTTCCAGCACTAATGCTTTCATAGATACTCACTTGTATTAGCATTTGAAACCTCTTTATCTATATTAAATGTTTATACT